GGCATCCAGAGACTGAGGAGTGGAGGAGAGGCTGCAGGAATTGTGCAGGGAGTAGCGTGGAGTCAGTGGGCACAGTTTTTGAAGTGGGTGGGGGCAGACATCACAGGGGCATGAGAAGAAGGATGACCCAGTAGGTAGGACCTGGGGCTTGGAAAACTTGGGTTAAACTCCCTGATCTGCAACAGACTTCCTCTGTGACCTATGGGGATGATGGCACTTCACCTTACAGGGGTGATGTGAGGATAAATACACTACAGAGTCAGGTGTTCAGCTTCTATGGCACTTGGGGCTAGCCACCATAGAAAAAAGGAGTAGCTGTCATTGGTTGATGGTTGGATACGTGAGACCTGGGGGGACAGATCTGAAGCCCCTTCAACATCTCTGCACAGCTCTGACCACTTCCTTTCCACCCCACTCTTCCCTGCACTGTTCCAACACTCCCTGCCCCACACTGCTCCAAACCCTATTTGCCCCCAACAGCTCAGAAACCCCTGTCACTGCTCCAACTCCTCCAACATGTCCATGTCTCTGAGCCCCTCACGCACAAACTGCTGCTACAAGTCCCACTCCCACATCCCGAGTGCGTTAAGCCTTGCTACACACTCCAGCTCCGAACCCACCCATCCCCCAACTCCACTCTCCTTGCCACTCCATACCCCTGGTAAGCTTAGAGGGGCCATAGTGGTGTCCCTAATCCCCCTCACCACCCTTGCTATCACCCCCATTCTATCCCTCCCACTTCCCCTCATCCCCTGGCCTGAGCTCCCCCAACTCCTCTCCCTCATCACCCTTTCCAATTTATTCCTCTCCCCCTAATCCCCTTCCTTTCTCTGCAGTCCCAAATCCCTCTCCCCTTATTCCTTGCTACTCCCCCACTCCCAATGCCCCCCCTCCTCTCCCTGCTCTCTCCCAACCCTCACACTCTCAGCACTGGTCCCTCAGACACCCAGTGCTGCTCTGGCACTTCCATGTTCCCTAGCTTTACCCCAAAAAAAGTATAAGAATTTTAAAAGGTTATGAGCATCTCATGTTAAGGGGACTGCGTATCAGGAACCCCCTGACTCAGTTACATTGTTCAGGAAACATGATTGCATTTATCCTAACTGTCTTTTATCTACCCTCTAGTTAATCAGTGCTCAATTGATTAATCAATGTTGGCACTCTGCTACAATAATGCCCCAGGTGGAAAGTAGCAACATGCCCAGCAATGATTCTCATATATCTGTGTAGCGCAGGTGTTATTTATTAGCTTTCAGAAAATAGTTAGAGCCCCTTCTAAATTTGTTGTGCAAATTATCAAGGCACATTTTTTAAAATAAAATATTTTTTTTAAAAAGCCCCAAACCCTTAACAGAAACAGATAGTAGCAACATTCAGGCTACATCTTGTAGTCTTGCTGCACACGTACATTCAATCTCTCTGGTTCATGAATTTTAGCATGTACTGTTCTCAAGAGCCAAATTCTATGGTCAATAACATTTTCAATATTGCGTCCCCAAAGGGGCAGTGGCAGTGGCATGCACTAGTGAGATAAATGTCAAGCAACTGAGATCAATTGGGGGACAATGTGTGCAAAAAAAGCATTATAACTTATAAGAACCAATAGTTTTTGTAAAATTCTATTCTTTCAGGGGTTTTATCTCAGGAGCACCTTGCTCAAATGACCCCCCAAGTCTGGACTACTAACACTACTAAGCACCCCTAAGAGACAACGAAAGTTTCAAGACAATCCAAGTAAGCATGCAGATTTTAGAGTACTTAGAAGTATCTACCTCTAAACAGAACCTGCTGTTCAGCCTTGACCATACAAAGCTGTTGCTTCAGTATAATAGAAGATAAATCTGGCACTACTATTGATTCTTTGTAAGAACATAAGAATGGCCATACTGGGTCAGAACAATCATCCATCTAGCCCAATGTCCTGTCTTCCAACAGAGGCCAGTGTGAGACGCTTCAGAGAGAATAAAGAGAACAGGGCAATTACCTGTTGGTACATCCCTTGTCATCCAGTCCCAGCTTCTGGCAGTCAGAGGTTCAGGAACAACCAGAGAATGGGGTAGCATCCCTGACCATCTTGTCTCATAGCCATTGATGGGACCTACTCTCCATGAATTTATCTAATCTAATCAATGTTGCAAGAGACCATTCAAAGGTGAAACGACCAGTTAACATCTCTACTGTAGTAGGACAGAGGAGGGTTATTGGGTTACAAATTGTTGTAATAAGCCGTAAATCCAGTGTCTTTATTAAGGCCATGATTTTTAGTGTCTAGCAAAGTTATGAATTTAAGTTCCCAGGCTTATCTTTTGAATCTGTTGCACAGGTTTCATCTGAGGACGAGGACTCAGGGGTCAGATATGGAATGATGGTTTTGTGAAAAGTGTCCACCCACAAGTGATAGAGTGTTTTTGTCTTTTATTATTTTTCTGTATGAGTTCACTTGAGAGCATAGTGATTGTCTGGTTTCACCCACATAGTTGTTATTGGGGCATTTAGTGCACTGGACGAGGTACACCACACGTGGTGATAGGTATGTGTAGGACCCTTGGATCTTGAAAGCTGTCTTGTGGGGGTTTTGATCATCATAGCAGGGGAGATAAGTCTGCAGGTTTTGCATCTGTTCTTATAGCAGAGGCGTGATGTATAATTACTTTGTGTGATATAAAAAGTATATCTAGATGTTCCAGCTTAACTTTCTATTTCTTTTCCTCAAGGTTTTTGTTGTTGTTGTTTTAAATAAGGAATTTCTCTTTAAAGAAGAGTATTTCTAAGATCTTGGCCCTGATCTTGCAATGATGTCAAAAGGGCTCCCCGCAGACACAAGGGTGCTCTACTGGGAAGTCAGCTGAGGGACCAGGAGCCTTGTGGCTATTTTTCTGTTTTACTTACAATTTGATGTAATATCACTTTAAATTGATAAGAACACATTTTGAAAAGTCACCTGAAGCGATTATTGCCAGGTAGGACAATTATGATTTGTTCTCATTTCTCTAGCGCAGTGTACCGTGAGGTTATTTTGAATTTGTTCTGGGACCTGTGTCACAATAAAACAATTAGTTAAAAAAATGTGAAGAATGAACTGAAAGGGAGGGGTAATTAATTCTTCCTTTTAGGGCTTGATCCTTGTTCATGATGAGTTGTACTTTACTCCATGAGTGGTCCCATTGAACCAATGTCTACACCACCTTGTCTACACTTAACATGCTGCAGCAGCACAGCTGCGCCGCTGTAGTGCTTCAGTGAAGGCGCTGCCTATGCTGACAGGAAGGATTCTCTTGTTGGCATAGGTAATCCACCTGCCCAAGAGATGGTAGCTAGATCAATGGGAGAATTTTCCTGTCAGTCTAGTGCTGTCTACACCAAGGACTAGGTCAGTTTAGCTGTGTAGCTCAGGGGTGTGGATTTTTTAGACCTCTGAGTGATATAGTTATACCGTCCTAATTTCCTAGTGTAGACCAGGACTAGGGTTCCTGAGCATGGCCCAGTGGTTAGGGCACTGGTTTAGGACTTGGGAGTGTTTGGGCTCAATTCCTTGATCCACCACTGATTTCCTGTGTGACCTTGGGCAAATGACTTAGGGCTGATCTACACTAAGAACTTACATCGGTATAGCTGCGTCTCTCCGGGGTGTGAAAAGTTCACACCCTGGAGAAATGTAGGTATACCGACCTTACCCCCAGTGTAGACAGCACTAAGGTCAACAGAGGAATTGTTCCATTGGCTGAGCTACTGCCTCTCAGGGAGGTGGATTACTTACACCAACACGGAGGGTGACCAGATGTCCTGATTTTATAGGGACAGTCCCGATATTTGGGGCTTTGTCTTATATAGGCTCCTATTATCCCCCACTCCCTGTCCCGATTTTTCACACTTGGTGTCTGGTCACCCTACCAACCGGAGAACCCCTCCCATCAGTGTAGGTAGTGCCTACACTGAAGTGCTACAGTACCACAGTTGCGGCAGCAGCATTTTAAGTGTAGACATACCCTTGGTATTTCTATTCCTCATCTCTATGATGGGCTTAATAGCATTCCCTGGCCTTATAGGGGTGTTGTGAGCATATAATACAAGGGCTCCTGCTTGTGTTAAGGGTACAGTTGAATTGGGGCTGGGGCTGGTGGTAAAATTCCGTAATGTAGACATGGTGCCCAGCTGAGACTTAACAGGGTTGGTTTAAACTGGCCTGTAAGGGAGAAGGCAGGAAAGGGAGACAGAGGAGGATGGAGAAGGGGCTAGATAAAGCCCAGGAGAGAGAAGAGAAAGGAGACAGGAGAGGCAGGGAGAAGGTGATAGAGCAGTAGGAGGCAGGAGAAGCAAAGGGAAAGAAGAAAGCAGAAGGCAGGGGCTGGGGAAGAGAGCAGGAGTGAGAAGAGAAGGAAGGAGAGATAGCAAGGAGAGGAGGCGGGAAAGAGGGAGGGAGAGCAGCAGCAACTTATTTGAATAGCTGCCTCATTGTATCGCAGCTCTCCAGGCTCCTCCCAGGGGCTGCCTCAGAAACAAAGTATTCAAACAGGAGTCCAAGGGGAAGAAATGTGAATCCCGCCCCCTTTCAAGCCGAGAGAAAAAAGCCAGACAGCACTGGCGTGACACCAGCATTAGGTTCACTTCAAGCATGTGCTGAGGGGGGGACACAGCCAGAGTTGGGGGCTGGAGCTGTTGCTGTGGGGGGAGAGAGAGGAGCAGGGGCTGCTTTGCCAGAGGTGGCTGCTGCTGTCTCCTTACCCTGCTCCTCTGTCCCCCCTCCCCCAGGCTGAGTTCATTCACTGGGATTGGTTTCAAATGACGCCATCTCTTTATTTTTACACCAATGACCTCATCCCAGCAGCTTGAAGTTTACTGACCAGCAAAACTCTCTCTCCTCCTCCTTGTGTCTGTTTGTTCTAGCCATTTATTAGTAATTGTGTGGTTCCTTTTGGAAACCTCAGCCTTTTTAACTTTCTTTTTCCCTTCGCAGCTTTTTTTTTCTCCCCCCCCTTCATTTTCTCAAGCCATCGGGGGGGGGGGGAGAGAGAGGAAGAAAAGCTCCAAACGTTTCCTCTCTCTCCTCCCCACCCCCACCCCCCCTTTAAATAGATCAGAATAAAGTTTTAAAGAAGAAGAACAGCCTGGAGCTTCCCAGCGGCTGGAAGGAGAGAAAGTTGGGTCTGGCAGCAGTTCCAGTAGAGAAGAAGCTGGTGGTAACTTTTTTTCCTTCTCCAGGAAACAAACGGGGGGGAAGTGTTGGGAAGAAAGTAGAGGAAGGAGGGGGCTGGCAAAAGGGTTTGGGGGAGTTTTCTCCCCAGGTTCCTAGGGGCAGCCCCCCACAAACAAGAGTCACCCCCTCTTTCCCTCCAGTGCTATAGGGACACCACTCTAGGGTGTGCTGGAGATACGATCTGTGATCTCTTTGCAAGGAATCTTTAAAATCTCCGGGGTGGGTTGCTTCTCTTCCCCAGTGTTCTGCTTTGTAGTTTTCTTGACTTGTGTTCTTTTGGTGGTGGTGGTGGTGTGTGTGTTTCAGTGTGTAGGCCCTAGGAGCAGAGGGAGATAGCAGCTAAATGAATTGGGGTGAGGGAAGGTGGTGGAAGCTGCTAATAGTGATGGGGTTATGATATTATTCCATGCTCTCTCCTCATCTTCCCCACAATCCTTTTATTTCCCCCCTCATTTTTTATTGGAAGGTTTCTTTCTCTGGCCCTGACTAGTCTACAGTCCCTTTCCTCACCTCATATGGGAAGAAAGGGGGGGACAGATGAGCTGCCAGTGTGAGACACTTTTTAGGCTTTAAAAAAGTACCAGCTCGTAACTGTTGTGCGTTTTTGATTCTCTTCAACACTGCAAGCTGTTTTGTGGTTGTATGGGGTTTGTTTTGTTTTTAAATTCACCTTTGGAAAAAGTACATAGCCACCTGTCTTAAATCCCAGTTTTTAAAGGAGAGGGACAGAGAGAGAAAGCAGGGCTTCCTTTTGTGTGAGGAGGGAAAAGGCATGATTTTAAAAACAAGCGAAAAATTAGGTAGTTTGTTTACATTAAGTGTATTAAATAAAACAACCTTTGGAGGATGTTTTGGGAATTTCTTGACTTTTTTTGGTTTGTTTTTGCTTCCAGGAACAATAAGTGCTTCTGACCCCCCTTCAAATTTAGTAAACAGTAATTTGAATTCATGATTTCAAGTGTTTTTAATTATTTAAAACAATTATTGTTTTTAAAAAACAATCTCGTTTTACGGTACAATCCAAAACTTTAAAAATGAGTGAAAGTACTGCCTTGAACTTTACTAAATATTTTATCTAAGCAAGCCAACAAAATGGAGGGTTGACGTAGAATCTTAAAAAAAGTTACCTGTGAAACGTTAGCTTGATTCCATTTTAAATATAGTGATTTTGAAAAGAGCTTGATTAGTGTTTTATATTACTTCAAACCCTCCCTGGAATCATTTTCTGAATGTTTTAAGAAACCATGAGAGAAGGAAACACCTCCACACATCAACATGTGCTGAATAAGGTGTATGTGACAAGTCTATTGCATAACCTGACCAGCAGTGGTGTTTTCAGTGTTCAACACTAGTAAACTACATCTAAGATGAAGGGCACTAAGCTGTTAAGAAATCTTAATATGTTTTTGTACAGTTATTGCAGTTCAAATTGATTATACATGTATTCTCTTGTCCCTCTCTTTCTCTTCATCTTCCTCCACCCACCAGATGAAAGAGGCATCACTAGTACATTTTACTGTTTTGGCTATGGCTAATTTTTGCTCAAACATTGGGTGTATATCCATTATAACATAAATATATACGCACACTTTAAACTTGCTGGAGGCATTTTAAGCTGTTTCTTGCTGAAAAGATGTGTTTTCAGGTTCTCTCTGATTTTGAGTGTGTGTGATCTTGCTTTTAGAATGTGTTTCTGTTCCTGGCAGCATGTGGTTCGGTGGACACAGAACTTATGAAATCACAACTGCACAAGAGGCGTTGGATTTTAAATGGTGTATTTTTAGGGAGGGTGGAGAAATGTTAAGGATTAATTTCTTTGTGCGGTGTTCACCTTGCTGGCTCACTTGAAATTGGAGCATTCACAAGCCTATTCCTGAGATGAAATATGAGGGAAGTTTGTATGTTTAAAAAGCATATAGGGTTTTTTTGGTGGTGGGTGGGAGGAAGGAGGAGGAACTTCCCCTCCTTTTTTTTTTTTTTTGCTTCAGCTTCTGGAAACTGGAGAAAATTTTAAAGAATATGCTATTCCCAAAGAGTTCATACAATGACCAGATATGCTTGTTGGTGTTAGCAGACATTCCATACAAAAATAGAAATTTGCAAGAGGTTTAATATATTCTCTGCAGTAAGCTTCCTATTACAGTGGTGCTTGCACATATCCTGATAGTGTGTGTGTGTGTTTTCTTAAATACAGCAGAAGTAATGGAGAAGGAAGTGTAAGTTCTAGGTGACAGCAGCAGGATTTTGGGGGGCGGAGTTAATATTAAATGTGCTAATGTCTAAAAAGACCGTTCAAGTGTTCTAAAAATCCAGTGTACTTTATTCCTTATCTAGATCAGGGGTTTTTTTTACTCAAAATAAATATCTTTGACTCTGATGGGTCCAGTTTTATGTTTCTAAATGGAAGTACTGGGACAAAATCAGTCCACAGTTGCACCAGAGTAACTATGGAAGTAAATGGGCTTGATTCATCTTTGATTGTGTAAAGTGCACACTCTTGGTCCAGTGGGGATGGCTATCCTAGCAGGGGCATTTGACCTTGGTAGAAGGGTGGAGTTATGGTTATAGCTGCCATATGCAATTGCAAACTCCAGCACCAAACAGACTTTCTGCCAGGAGAGTCCCAAGCTTCAGTTTCTTCCAGCAGAAGCTGGCGGTACGCAGGGTGAACAGAGCCAAATAAAGTTACTGGATTTACACTGGTGTAACCAAGAGCAGAATATGTTCCTCTTTCTCTCTATCTGAGACCAATTTAAATAATTCAGCTCACTAAGGCTTTGGAGGGCTAATTTAGGGTCCCTATAGGATCTCTGGAAACCTTATTATGTCTCAAATGTATTGTCCAGCTGATAAACTAATTCCAGCTAATTTTCAGGCTCCTGTACCTGCAAGTGAGGCAAAATCCTGTTGCCAAGCAAACAAAAACCTGATGTGGACAAGTGAAATGTTGTTGTTTACCGCTATAAGGCACAATACTGACCTGCACTTAAAAATTGTGACTGTGGTGACTGGCCAGTACCTTTGACCTCAGGCTGAAGAAGAGAACTGGCTTCCCCACCTCAGGTTTCATGTAAATCCTACCAAATGGCAAAATAAATGGATCATTTGCCTCCCTAGGTTCTGATCCTGAAATGAGCTCTAGGACTTGGGATTCTGCCCAGGCACAGCTCATTACACCATTAGGGTATTCTGTTAAATTATTTCTCTGTCTATACTCAGTCCCATGCATCCCCATGCTGCATTTTGAGAAGAGTGGTTAATTAGTGATTGCCTAACTAGCGTTCAGTGGCGCTCACAAGGAAACTAAGGCTGGGGAGGCCAGTTTTCACTCCATTATTGCCTGGTGCTGTACTAACAAGTAGGAAATCATAGGCATTATCCTGAATGCTGACCATCTCAAGTGGACAAATCACATGACAGACCATGGAGTTGCTAGGGCGAACCAAATCACACTAGCTGTACTGGTTCAGAGTTATCTTCCTTAGTTACTAACTTGTGTGGCTTGGTTTATTAGTCGTTGTTGTATCTTAAAATCATATAACCAAGGGAGCAACTAGCCCCAGAGCAGAGATAAATGAAGTAAGGCAAGCTAAAATAAGTGCATTTCTGAGGGAGACCATTCCTGGCAGAGGGTGGCAGTCACCTTTTAAGTCATAAGTCCCAGGCTGTCAGTGCACCTTTTGATTTTAAGGTAGGTCAGACCAGCAGCTTTCTCTTCTAAGAGGGGATACCGAACATAACACTCTCTCTCTCCCCCCCCCCCCCCCCGCCAAATAATTCATTCCGACTACTTAAAAAAACAACAATAAACTGAGAAACATCTTGTCCAACAATGAGATTGGGCCAGATCAGATGCCTTTGTGAAAATGCCCATATAGGAACCAGAAAATTCCATGTAGGAGAGTATCTGAATTCCCTCTGTATTTTTCTACTGGAGGAGTTTGACTAGTGGGTTGGGGGGGTCAGAATTTGCACATACTCTCCCCTACTTCACAGTGAAAAAACCTGGGTTCTGTCCCATGAGCCACATGGATTGTGTACAGAGGGGCCCCTCTGTGTGCCGATTCCAAGGGTATAATCTAGCTTGCGTCTGTCTCTATTTTTTATTTTTAAATCTGTTGAGTCCTTGTGGCTATTTTGTTGAGTGTTGCCTGGCCATGTGTGGTTATTAAAAAATATAATAATGCCCTGGTTTTCTAGAAGTTTGTGTGGGAAGTAGCACGTCTCTGTATGTTAGAGTAGAAGATCATTTCCCCCACCCCCCACCCCAAGACTTCTGGAGTGCATTTAATATGTTTGAGATAGAGAGTTGCTTGTGTGGCATATGCAAATATCAGAAAGTGTCTTTGCATTCCATGAGTTCTATGAAGAGAAATACTCTGAGTAAACTGATCATCAGGAAATGGCAAATTCATTTTTCATGACTATTAATTGTTGGCCTAACACACATGTGGCATGTGTGTAAGTTCTGCATGAATAAAAGTTGGGGTCAAAAGTTGTGGCTATTGGTTGACACTCTGATATAAAGCCTCTTGTGTCCGGCTCTGGTTTCAACCCAGCTGAGCACAGTAATGATTGGAAGTCATTGCCATCTCTCTGAGGTGGATGAAGTGTGAGTGAGTGGTCTTTGTCATGTTTCTAGTAGATACCTGAAGAACCAAATCCTCTATTCTGTTACATCAGTTATATAATAGTGTAGCTCCATTAATTTCAGGAAAGTTACCAGGTGCAATAGCGTGGAGAAACAGGCTTGGAATCTGAACTGCCTTCACTACTAGAGATGGTTCTGAGTTGAAGCACACTGCTGGGCTAGGAATGTTCCCACTACTGCTGACCTTGCTGTACCTCTGGATAGATGTTTTCGGTCTTCTGGGCTCTCTAGTACTTTCCTTTAACGTCTGAAGAAAAATAAACATGTATTTTAAGGGAAAGTTTGGCTGTGTCCTTTTTAAATTTCTGTAGTTTAGTCAGAGCATCTCTGAG